AGATTGGAGGGGGGGAGTTGTCCAAACAATTGGAGACACAACCTACAGAGAAAAATCATCTAATAATAAATTAAAGTGGGCTGGACCATTTTGGCCGTATGGGCCATTCTTCTTCTTGGGTTGGGTTGTGGTTGATCGCCCCATCTGCATCTAGTTATTGAAATGGGAAAGGAAAGAAAAAGAAAAAGCTAAGCAGCAGTAAGCACCATCATGTAATTATATCAACTACAACTAGCCATAGCTATAGAATCCAATGCATTTGTTTGGTTCATGGAATTCAAGTCTGTATTATGTTGTATATATTAGAGGACAGCAAAGCCCATTTTCAGCTTCGGATATTTCAACGAGACGACCTGTATATCTAATGGGATTAAGGCGAGTTGTAGTCTGTAGATGTTGGCCAAGCGAATCATTCGACAGGTACAGGCACATCACAGAACCTCTGCATCTTCACCTCATGGAGTCAGTCTCTCCTTGGCCCACTTGTCCTTCGATCCCTGTCGTTCAATCTTGGGCCCACCACCTATATTGGTCGGCAAAGCCAAAGAATTTCTTTGGTACGTGATTAGATTGTTTAGGAAATGGGTCGTCTGTCATGTACTTACCCAAAATGTGATTTTTGCACTGCTAGAGGTTATGCATGCCTCCTCTGAAAGTCGATCGTCGGATTGGAATAGCCGTTGGGACCCATTAATCTCATCTTAACGTCAATAGTTTGACATTGACATGCAGCGTTGTGATTGTTCTTATCAAGATTTTTCTGTGGAGGATCTTATAGACTATTTAGACACTTTTTAGAATTTTGAATTCAAGTTCTCATCAAATGTGATTTGGGATCTTTCAAAGCTCAAAAGCTAATCTCTAGTGGATGAGGATTAACTTCATGTGCAGTTGATGGATGAGTGGGTGTTTATTATTGGTTAAACGGCCCCTTCCCTAAAGCAGACATCAAAGTACAACTAATTAGGACTCCTGGCCTCTACAGTATAGAAAAGCATAGAATATCCATATCCATAGTTTGTTTATGGGTTCGACTATCAATCAAGTCCTATACACAATTACTCAGTTTCAATAATAGCAGATTATCCAAATATATAAATAAATCAGATTTGAGCATAGGTTTTACATATATGTATGTATGTAATATTTCAATAAATGTCTTGAACCATATGCAATAAAATTGTTAATTTTGGTAAAGTATCTTATTCTTGTTTTATTATCTTCTTAAATTTGGAAGGTTTGAAATTCAAAAGCTCATCATCATCATCCAAGCTTTATCAATTACATGAATCCTGTTTTGTCATTCCATTCTATTTAATGTCATATCTATTATTATATTATAAGCATTTGAATCATCTCTTACTACATTGACCCATGTCCATCAAAACCCATCTTCATAATCCATGATGGAAGTGCAAAGCAGCAGGATTCATATAACCTAAGCCAAATGGTTGACATAAGGATGAATGGAGTTGAGATGAACAGTGTTGTAGGCAATTCAATGAACAATGGAACCCATTTTGATGTGGAGCAACTTGCAAAAGCATGTTGTTTTCTTTTCTTCTGACAGAAAAGGACCTGCAATATTAGAATCATAGAATGTAGCAGAACTCTTGAAACATCTTTATTTGCACAAACATTCAAATACATAGTACCACTCATTAAAGTGCAGCAATATCATTGTCATTGCAGAAACATGTTAGAGCAAGAACAATTGTATTGTATTGTCTTGTTTATATGTATGTATGTATGTTTCTTTGTCTAAATGCATCAAGTGGGTTCTCTTTGTCTTGTGGAATTCAAGTTATATATAGTGGAGAAACCTGTAAGACAAGCAGCAGTAATGGATCATATACAACTAGAACCCCCTCAACTTCATTTGATTGACATTGAATCAATCAATGTTGAGGACTGTGCTTTACATTGGAGAAGAAAGAATTATTTGCATTTGATTTTTTTTAGTCTAAAAATCACTTACTTTGATATCATTGTTGTTAATTATTTTTTATTGAATGGATTGGGTAGATTGAGCATTGAGGCATTTAATTTACAGTGGGAGAACACTGTGATAGTGTGATTAAGTTATCTCTTTAACAAATTAAGATTGTACATTCCTGCAAGAGGACACAAAACTTGTACAGATCAATCCCTTGAAAAGGGTATCAATAGGACATAAATGGGAGATTTTCTCTATTTTTCATCAAAATGAAAAAAAAAGAGAAATTTTTGTCTAATAACAAGTATCTAAGTATCTATCTTTTACTATTTTACCTTTCAACAATCTAGAATGCCTAGGGTTAGAGTTCAAATCATAAATTGGTACCATAAACTAGCTATTAGAATAAGGACCATATAGCAAAAGTGACTTACTAAAAAAAGAATATTTTAATTTCAGTAACAAAATAAACAATAAAAATTCAATCAAACATGTGGAATTGTGTATTTAATTTGTTATCTCTCAACAAATATGGAAATAAAAGTTTGAAAGGTATGTTTTTTTTATTAAATTATACATATTTGCAAGCATAATCATGATTTATATTATAAGAATATATTAAAATAAAGTATTTCCATTTTTTAAATCCATGTATTTATGAAAATTTTCTATATATTTTGTATCTTTTAATAATTCAAAATCTGAAACAGTTTCTATCAAAATTTTGAAAATGCATGTAATGATCTGAATTTGATTGAATACCATTATAATAACTAAGAAAATAAAACATTTCAACTAATGAGATATGATGGATCCATATGATTTAAGCCCTCTATCTATCTATCTATCTATCTACCTATCTATGTGTATGGATCTCATAATATTCCAAATAAACCATGGAGATGCATGAGTGGAAGCTACATGCATTAATTGCACCTTAACTTTCCCCTTGTTTAATTCCATTGGGATTGAATTAATTAAATTAATGTTTTTGACTTCTCTTGAAAAGTAGAATTGCATTCTCAAAAATTAAAATTATGATTAGTATCTGGTCATAACTACAATGAGATCCCTTCAATCATCATTTCTCCATGTATATATGTAAGATATGAACCCACCATCAGGTTTCAACTAGGGCTGCAAACCAATCAGATCGAATCAGATATGGGTAAATTCATATATATATATATATATATATATATATTTGGATGGCAATAGGATATTATATAGTATTAATAAATTAAATTCAGAATAATCAAAACATTATATATTATTAAATGAAACGAACTAAAAATAACTGTGGTATTCTATATCATATATCATGAAGAAAGGATTCAAACCCTATCAAAATGGCACTTCGTTAAAAAGCACACAACATTCAAATCAATTTTACTGATAAAGATGATATAAACTTTAAAAAATATATACATATATGTTCAAGTTAAACTGAGTCTGTTCAGATCATATGGGATCGGATAGGGCTGGATCCATATATTCAAACCCTTAACTGGATCGAATTCGAATTTGGATAAATGAATTACTCAAGCAGTTTCAACTGAAAGATAGATTGTCTAAAAAAAATGATCAGATGACCATCTGATTTGTGAATTGTTTTTTAAAATTCAAGTTGCAGAATATCAGTCCTTATAATCTAACTTTTTTAATCAAATATATGTAATTTAGGGTTATTTGATTGCCATTTTTTCTATAAATATTGCTTAGTATTGGACCCATCTATTAAGAGATCAGATGAGCTGTGGTTGATAATTGCAATATTAAATACTGTTTAACCAATAATCAAGGTTCAAAGTATCAATATGAGAATCATTGAAGGGGGGAATTAGAAAATGTTTTAAGTTTCAAGAATTGAACCAAGACATATCATACAACACACATTGATACATTATGATACTTTGAACATGCAAAGTGAGAGGGTGAATTGGTGAATTGATGGCTGACATGGGGCATTATTACTTGTTAAAATAGCACCCCTCCCAATACAGCCATCAAGTGCAGCTCTACCAGACTCATCTATTAACTGGTCACACTTAAGGCCAATGAGAAATCATTAACTCTTTTGTTAGAGTCAAAAATTAAATTATGAACCTAAGGGATTAATTCCTCGTATTTTATGAATCATTTATTTCATGCGGCACGAAAAGATAAATTAGGACCCACGAGCATAAGAATGTATCAAAAACTTTAGTGCAGATTGTCAACTTGGTGCAACCCTCCTATTTTGTCTAACATAAAAAATCATAAATAATAACCTTACACGCATTATTTGAGAGTGGTTTAATTTACAGTTGACCTTATAAGAGATCGTGTTCTAGAGACTTCTAGTAGGAAATCTAGCCCCACCAGGGTCCTGGGACCTAATGAGAGCTAAGCTCAAATCTGGTTCAGCCGTCAGGGGTCAAACACAGACGAGACCCAAATTCAACCTGATATCAACTAATATGAGTACCTTTCAGTCTTTCACGTGTATCTGGTATTAATTTGAATAATAAGAGTGAGTTTTGGGAGAAAACTGAAAAGAGAGGCGACGTTAGCCTAACATGAGTCTGAATGGCAACTTTTGGTCAAAAATCTACCCAAACAGCACTTAATATTTACATACATCCCCCGGAGATGGGGTGGGTCATGGATGGGGGCAATAAAAAAAATTAAAAATTAAACAAAAAAAACTTGGTAAAAGTACTTTGTGGGCCTTCAATCTGGGGTGGGCAATACGACAACTTGGAACATTTCTGGCCCAATTCCACCTAGGACAAGGAAAATAACCATTCTTTCTCTCTCTCTCTCTTAAAATTTAGGGCCAAATCTAGCTCCATCTTCAATTCAAGGCTGCTATCATGGTTATGAGCAATATTGTCAGACTCGGAACAGAAAAGAACCGAAAAGCTCAAATGCTCAATGATTCACGGTTTTGACAGTAACAGTTTAACTGTCGGTTTGGTTCATCCGGGCCGCCGTAAAAAAAAGACCGGGACCCAGAATGCTCACTGGATTTATTATATATATACGTGGTAGAACTAGAACTACAACTAGAACTAGAATAGAATTCTCAGAGCTGAGTGACACAGACACTCAGAGGAAGAGGAAGAAATGACGCAAGAAAGATCCCCCTAAGATTCTAAATTCTTGTTCATCCACTCCCCTGCGTCATTGCCTTAATTTTCTCCTCTCATCCTTCTCTTCCTCATCTCACTCTCCTACCCCTCCGATCAACAATCTCTGTCTGTGCTTTTCTATTCCCCCCATCTCTGTGACTGTGAGATCGTCTGTCTTTTGTCTTCAACCAAATTGTTATCAGACTCTGTTTCGAATATCAGCATAAACAACACCAAACGTAATGACAGTTGACTGCATTGCAAACGTAACCTCCGATGGCCCTCCACCGCGGAAAGATGAAAACAAGGAGCAGCAACCATCTCTGGTTTTTGACGCCTCGGTTCTTCGATACCAATCCAACATACCGAAACAATTTGTGTGGCCCGACCATGAGAAACCCAGTGCCGACGCACCAGAACTCCAGGTTCCGCTCATCAATTTGAGTGGGTTCCTTTCCGGGGACCCAGTTGCAGCCTGGGAAGCGTCGAGGCTTGTGGGGGAGGCATGTAGGAAACATGGCTTCTTTCTTGTTGTAAATCACGGAGTGAAAGCTCGACTCATAGCCGATGCTCATCGCTACATGGACTTGTTCTTCGACATGCCGCTCCACGAAAAGCAGAGGGCTCAGAGGAAGCCCGGCGAGAGCTGTGGATATGCTAGTAGCTTTACTGGCCGCTTCTCCTTCAAACTCCCCTGGAAAGAGACCCTCTCCTTCAGCTATTCAGCCCACCAACAACCACACAAAACCGTGGAAGAATATTTCCTCAACGTCCTCGGTGAAGGTTTCAGGGAATTTGGGTAAGAACAAATTCCTCTGTTTTTTTTTTCCTTGAATATTTCTCAAACTTTGTTGTTTAATTAATTTCCATACGTGTTTTCTTGCTGTCTGTCCTCTGTTGCGTTGGTTCACAGGAGGGTGTACCAGGAATACTGTGAGGCTATGAGTACTCTCTCTCTTGGGATCATGGAGCTCTTAGGGATGAGCCTCGGAGTAGGTCCTACCCATTTCAGGGATTTCTTTGAAGAAAATGATTCGATAATGAGGCTTAACTACTATCCGCAGTGCCAGAAGCCAGAACTCACCCTTGGAACAGGGCCTCACTGTGATCCAACTTCTTTAACCATCCTTCATCAGGACCACGTCGGCGGCCTTCAAGTCTTCGTAGACAACAAATGGCATTCGATAAGTCCCAACCCTGAAGCTTTTGTCGTCAACGTCGGCGATACGTTCATGGTACGATAATTAAGATCAGTAGTTATATATGTATTTATGTGCAGGAATGGAATGAGTGATTTTATATTTTTGTTGGATTAATTTCTTTTGTTGCAGGCTCTGTCCAATGGACAGTACAAGAGTTGCTTGCATAGAGCAGTTGTTAACAGCAAAACACCAAGGAAATCTCTGGCCTTCTTTCTCTGTCCAAGGGCGGATATGGTGGTGAGCCCGCCGAGAGGACTGGTGGACTCAGAGCATCCAAGAATGTACCCAGACTTCACATGGCTGACGTTGCTTGAATTTACTCAGAAACATTACAGAGCGGACATGATGACCCTTGACGCCTTCTCCAATTGGCTTCAACAAGAAAGCAAATGAACAAGGATGCGCCCATCCAAATCAGCTCTTGATCTTCACTTCTCGTTAGCCTCACCTTTTCAGGAAAGCGAATTTGATTTTGTGGAGGACTAGGAGTTTCTTGGTAGGAACAGAGTAGTAGCTAGGACGCTAAGAGAAAACCAACAGAAGGGTCAGATTTCTTTAAATGAGACCGGCCAGTAGCTAGCTGTTAGTGGTAGCACTGGAAAATTACAGAGAAAGAGAGAGAGAGAGAGAGAGAGAGAGAGAGAGAGAGAGAAAGGTAAAAAAAGGCAGAACAAATTGAAGCAGTAAAGAGCAATTGAATAAGCTCATTTCCGATTTTATTTGGATATACATAGCCAGATTCCATGTAAAAGCCAAAATAGAGGAGATAACAGAACTTTTTGGGTTAGTTGTTGACTACTGTTTCAACTTTAAAGCAATTCGTCTCTCTCTCTCTTCACAGTCTCACGCTTTTCAAATTGTTTGGACTTGGGATGATCGGCAATGCATGGTCACAATCACTATAAAAGAATAATATTAGAGTGGAAAATGCATGTCAATGAGCACTTACCTAAAATTTCAAAGCCTATCTCGACTGGCTAAAAGCGACGCCGAACCATTTTAAGTCTGACTAGACCAGACCAGACGAGAGAGAGAATGAAAGATGAGATTAACCCGTTGAGGTTGAACTGGCTGGTTACAAAGAAATTAAGCCACCTAGCTCACCAACTGTTTCAAAGCGCAAAATTGATTCTTGCACTTGCCTACTTTCTTCTCCAATATATATTGGAAGGGTTGGGACTTGGGAGATGATGAAGGCGGTCAAAACTCAATAGAGAAACAACAAAAAACCAGCAGGGTTTCTCTTCTTTTTCAGATTTTTCATTAATTTACCAGTGAACCACCCCTTCAATTTTGTCGACTTTGACCAAGGCTTCTTCTTCAGCAATGCCCAACTTGATCGATGAAAATTGATCAGCAGTTGTTGTTTTGAATTTGATAGATAGCTCCGCTACTCTCCAAGTGTTTGTTGTTTAGACGTAGTAAAATTTTTATTGTTTGTTTTATTGAATGCATTATAGAAACTTGGATTTGGATATGGATGGATCAAAGGGAAAGGTCAGGGAATATTAATTTGAAGTTCTAAGATACTGTCGTCCCCTTTGTCATCAGTTGGTGCTACCTACATTTAATTTTAATTATCTCCCTCCAAAGCTGATGTCTGCGAGTCACCAATCACCATCGTAATGGACAATGGCAGTCTCTCTCTCTCTTCCAAGTGCCTGCTTCACGTGGAAACACCTTGTCTCTTGTCTCTTTTGTTTGTTTATTTACTATTACTTGCAACCCATCGATCTCTATCGAGCGCACAAGACACACGAACACACAGTGTTTCATATACAGCACACACCACGGACTTAATCGTCTACGGCATTGTCAGATCAGGTGGGCTTCTAATTACTTAGCCCATTGGCTCAATCCATCATCGATCTCATGTATTCCCAGTATCTCTGGATTCTTCTGAGAGAGATATATACATGAGGACTGGAAGCTAGTGGCTCATGGAATTATGGTCCTTAGTCCTTACGGAGCGCGGAGCGACAATATATAGCGCCAGAAACTAGCTAGAGCATTCTTCTTTTATCTTTAAGGCTGTGTTTGGTTATTGTCCGATCGAATTGGTTGAAAATGATTTCAACCATGGGCCCTCCATTCCATCGTTTGTGTGGGTTAATGGGTAAGGACTGACCTCCATTCTAGTTCATTCAATCATTCAAGATTGCCCAGTTTTGCCTTGAAATCTTGGGTGTGGTTAGCTTCATGGCTCACCCAACATTTTTTGGAGAAAAATCCAAGGGGAATTTTTCATTGAGATCACTGGTGGGGTGGTTTTTTGTGCCAGAGAGAAGCAGTTCACTTTTTTTTTTTTTCTGATATCTTTTGAAAGTCTACAAAATGGGGGTAGCCCATCCCCCAACCCAGGTACTGACAGGATTCGATCCTAAGTCTCCACTACAACTAACAGAAAACCTTATCAACCAGCTGGACTGAAACCTTACAAAGATATATATTCACTATTGTCATCTTCATTAGTGGATTTCTGGTCTTCTATCGCCCAAAGGCGTAGGTGCCAAAGGCTCAATCACATAAATTGTTGTGTTATAAATTTGTGTACTTGGAAGTTTTGTCCAACAAAGATTTTAATTGTATTTAAAATGACCTCCAAAGTCTAAGATGACTGTATAAATCAGCCTATATTAATGGTGCCAATAAGAGAATATCCAGAAGATGTTTAGGGGAGATCTTTTCTACTTTTTTTGTTATATTTTATTAGATTGATTCCTCTCTCTCTCTCTGTATGTGTGGCCAGCACTTGACCTCTCTAATTGGTCAACCAGTTTTCTTTTTAATAGTGAAAATTAACATTAAAGGAGGAGACCAAATCAGAGAAAAAACAGAAGAAGGAAACAAACAAACACTACCAACCTAAAGCTAAACCAAAGAAACTAACAAACAGAAAAGAAAGGAAAAGAAAAAGTTAACTACTCAGAACTGAAAGCACAACTCCACTAGGTGGTTGATCCGACATACTATTCAAAGCAGCTGAAAGATCCAGTTTAAACAAATTCTGAATTCGTTCAGTGTCGCTGCTAATCAAGAACATTTTAGAGCTAAAATCACCCCTTTTTTGCGTACTCGTAAGTCACACAATTACCATCTCTGACAATGAAGCCAAATTAACCTGATACGTATTCTCATCCACAAGATTTAAGATATCATTCAAACAAAGGCCAAACCACATAACTTTGGGAAGAATACAAATACAAATACATGCAAAATAATATAAAATACAAACTTTTACATTCTATATAATCCTTTCATAAACTAATAATTGCATGACTCATTTCCCAACCCAATTTTCTATAAAACCAGCATCAACATATTTGTCTCACAAAACCTGCATCAGGACTAGAGCCCTGATAAAACTAACAAATGGTTAATTAGGTTTGATGAGGAAAGATTTGGTCCTCCAGTGAAATTGCGACACGTGGCACCTCGTGACAATTAGGCAAGCACCCAAGCAACAACTTACCAAGTTGGTGTCCCCCCCGGGCACTGGTCTGGCTGGCCTGGCGCGACCTGCATGCGGCCAACGGGCGACCTGCACGCGGCCCACGAGCGGCCTGCACGTAGCCTGGCG